AATTAATTATAAAATAAAAATATTTATAAAAAAGATTATGGGGACAGATTAGAAACTCCATTGTGCATACTGTCCCCAAAGTTCTGGCAGGGTGGAATGAATGGATCTGACTTAAAGGAGACTTTAACTAAACTAACCCTAGAAACTGGTGGTGACTGGATGGCCTTCCTTCCCTATGCCCTATATAAGACAAGAAACACCCCTTATACTCAGGGACTGACCCCATTTGAGAAACTTTATGGCAGGCTCCATCCCCTTCTGCCTAACCTCTAATCTGAGATTTTTGTATAATTTGATCAGCAAAGCTTCCTGAAATCCTTGCAATCCCTACATAGGGTCCAGAAACAGCTCTGGTCTGATATATGCCAGAACTACGAATCAGCTCCCCCTCCTAACCCTCATTGCTTTGAACCAGGTGATGAAGTCTGGGTTAAGAGACACAATCACAAGACACTTGAACCTCATTGGAAAGGCCCTCACACGGTGATCCTGACAACACCCATGGCTATAAAAGTTGACAGGATAAAGATTTGGATTCACCACTCCCATGTTAAATCTGCAGGATGAGAGACAATCCAACAGTCGAGCCACAGCCATGAGAGGGACAGACTCTCAGGCCAGCATGAGACATCAAGATAGAGAGCCCAGTGACATCCCTGAGACCCATTAAAGCTGAGACTCAGACACTCCTAATCCTCCTTGTTGTGGCCACATCATGAGATCCCCCTGAGCAAGACCATCACAGAGCTGATATCTGATGTAAAACATACTGGGGTTTATTGATAACAAGCAAGCTCGGGCTTGGGCTTGGTCTGCATCCAACATCTGACATAGCAGGTGGAGGAAGATGACCCTGAGCCCTCAGAGTGAGGAGTTTTTAAAGGGAAAAACTCAAGTAGGGTGTTAAAAGCCTGGGCATCATATGGATTGGGTGAGGGTATGTAACCTTTGAATTTACTGGTTGGGGTTACAGTTATCATTTTTGGGCAGGCCTGGACAAGTCCCAGGCTCTGTCCTTGAGCTGCCATGGGGGCTGGATGGCCTAGCACATACTGACTGTGGGGGCTGCTCAGTGGCCCAGGCTCTGTCCTTGAGCTGCCATGGAGGCTGGCTGGCCTCACATGTTCACATTGACCCATGCATGTAGCTCTAAGTTGGTGAGGCGTCCCAGACAGTAAACAACTGGCTGAACCTTGAGCAGTCAGAGTATGTGCAGACAAGGAGCTACTGTAAGGACTATGTCATAGCCCTCCCAGAAACTGCTTGCTTAAGTCTCAGGAAACTGAAATTGAGGCCTGATCTCTGAGAGGACACTGAGCAGCCTGTTATGGCATCTGCTTGGTCCTTTCATTCCCCCCTTGAGTAGTATATCATCTCCAATCTTGGAGATATTACTTTTTGGTAAAAGACTTTATCACCAGGGTAGTAGATTAGTTTGGATGCTAATTGGACCAGGACATAAGAGTTTTCCCATTATCAATGGCAAAGTGAGCTTCCCCTTATTCAGATTTTGCCATCTGCAAGTGTGTCATGGGTTTGGTTCAGGGGCTGATATTGTGATTCTAGCATCCTCAGTTTAGTGGTACCCAGACAGGAATCTTCATTTAGTTAAGACATCAGTGACATAAGAGCCAACAGTAATTAGCAGAAGCACAAGGGCCAAAAGCCCTGTGATGGTTGACAGAGTTCCTTATCCTGAAGGAACTTGGAAATGAGACTGGGGACCAGTTATTACTTTATCCCAGGTTCCCTATGGTAAGAAATTCCCTTTTGATCTAACATTCCGGGAGGGGGGAGGGTGACATTTTCACTTCTGTAATTACTTCCTGCTGACATTGAAACGTTGTTGTCAGGGCCCTGGAAAGCAAAAATGCTAGTCAAAGGCAAGGAGGGAACATTTTATTGACCAGCTGAAGAGATAGCATTTATATTGGCTGGATTGGTCCATATCAGCTTTCAGCAACTTCAGAGCTTGTCAGCAAATGATGCTTGGATGTGTCTTTCAGCCAAGTGGAAACCTGTTGAGACAGATATAAAATAGGAACAGGAGTTAAAATTTATGAACTTATTTTGAATTTTCAGACACATAGTCTCAGTAATTGTAGTATTACCAATTTGCATTGAAATCCATATTGTGTTTTATATTTAGAAAGCCAGATATAGATTGGACTGAAATGTCTTTGGCCCTATGAAAAGCATCTGTAAGTCTATATTCAGAACCTATTTCTCTCTCTCTCTCTCTCTCTCTCTCTCTCTCTCTCAAGAGACTTAGTAGCTTTAATTAATTAATGCATTGATCAATAAATAAGGTGGCTGCAACCTTGTGGAAGACTCTGGTTGACTGATGTTACTAAGCTGACAAAGCCATAGCTACTCCAGTCATCAGTGCCATCAAAGATCTGAGAAGGATAAATTTAACCTGAGTGCAGACCTCCAAATCTATTAAAAAACAACAGAGACTATCCATTGCCCGGACCACATTTATCCCAGGCTCCTGTAATCTTCATAGCTTTAGCAGAATAGGTGTCAGGACAGCATCAGTTTTGGCTGTTGGGCCCATAACGTGAAATTTTCTTTGTCGAGGAGCAATTCTGGGAAAGAATGACTTTCTTGTCAGTGTCTCATTTGCCCCTTCTGATCCGGATCCCTGGCAGCAGGTGTTGAGTTGGGGCATCTTGCCCAGTGGTCGGTGTTGTCTGCAATTCAGGTGGCATCTTCTTGTCATTGTTCCATATCTTCTTTGGAGACCTTGGGAGTCATTACTAGGAACTAGAAGTCTCTGGTTGCTATAGTAAACTTTTTATTAAATAATTTAAATGCCATATTCATCAGATATTTGACGGGTTTGAGAACTCTTATCTATTAAATATATCTGAGCCAAAAAAATCTAGGCCTAATCTTGAAAACATCTGTAAGTTTGGTAATAATAATCATGATAATTTGTTATCCTGTAGATATATTAGTCAAATGTACCACCCAGGTTTTGTTTTTTTCTTATTTAAATGGCTTATAATTAAATAAGAGTTAACAGTTTATGCTTTAAACTAGTATCTGGAAAGCCAGATGACTAGTATTAACTTGTGTTCCTTAACACAAAGGACATGCAAACTCAGACATTCAAAACCAAACATACATGTGGCCACATTTTCATTCATACCTGCAGAATAGACAGACATTTTTTAAACTATGAACATTTGGTGTCTCAATGTAACAGCAGAATAGCAAGAAAAATAAATCTGAAACGTTTTATTTTTTATATACCTCAAGCCAATTATTTTTATTATTACTTAAGCCTTTTTATCCTCAGACCTTTACAACTTATATTTTACATACTTTTTTCTTTTCAAAGCATTTTTTTATATTTTTATACCTAAAACCTTTACATGTTACACCCTACATAAACTTTACTTATACTCAAACCTCACAACTTACTTAAACTTTAAAGTTAAACCTTAAAGTTCCACATTTTATACTTTAAACTACTTCCTCAGACCTAAAATATAACATACTCAAACCCTCATGACATGCTTAAGCCTTCAAATTTTTACATATTAAACTGCTTCCTCAAACCAAAAAATGATTTATTTAAACTTTGATCCTTATATTTCAGGACTTCATATTTTTATTAAAACATTATATCTTAAAACATCTTTTTTATTTAATTTATTGAGCTATACTCTACTTGGAATTTGATAGTTATTTTCCCTTTATCTTAACCAATAATAATTTGTAACCAATTCTCTTAAATGATGGCAAGTATTTGTAACCCACTGAACTCAAATGACGAAAACCCATGTAAATTTTTCTTTTTTCTGTAGAAACAAAAGCATAATTTTCCCAATACATAATGTATCTTGGACTGGTAATTCAACATTTTTTTTCTTTTCAAGCAATATCAGGACAGAGAAGGGTTAACAAGAGAAGATGCTGGCTGGCAGAAGAGACCTTGAAGCTATCACAGTGAGGAACTTGGCTTAGTAAGGAAGGGAGGGGGAGCAGTGGGCATAGAGTGTGTGTCCTTGGCTGCCAGTGTTCCTGAAAAAGGGTTTTTGTTAACTTCTCTGACTAAAGTCAGATTCTCTGTTCAGTGTTCACACAGTTTTTGTCAATTGCAAGCAGTCAATTCACCATTGCCCTGCCCATAGCCCCTGTCTCTACCCGCCTCTACAGAGAGCATGCACCCCAACCCTCTGTGAGAGCTGCTGGCTAGCTGCAGGCCTGATAGCAAGAGAATTATGGAGGGAGGGAGGGAGGTGGCTCTTGCTGTGCCTCTTTCTTCTTCTCTTCCAGAAAAATAAGGGATGTTAGTAGACAGAAACAAATAACATTTACACAGACAATCCAAGTACTGGTACATCAGCGCTGAGATGATGACCTCACTCACAGCTAGCAAGACCCATCTAACAGATGGCCCCTCTTGCAGTACACAAGCCCCACCTGGCAGGAGCTACCTGCTTATCTCAATTCAGTCAGGGGGACCCAGTTCCCTCTATTGTGGGCAGTGGCTTGCACATCCTTCCAGTGGGCTAGGCAAAGGTCTAGGGGAGAAGAGGCGGACTATCCCATAGCATCTGTCACAGTCAACAATGAGAACAGTTAACATACTACACACAAGACCAAGAGCACATGAACAAACTTTGCCCTAATGAGACCACCAACAAAGCTCCAAGAACAATGACGGCCTGATGTGCTCTGAGGGGGGGGGGTGACCCTCCAGGCTCAATCACACCAAAAAACATCCAGACTCGAGGATCTCTGTCCTTGATGAAACAGACATTAGGGGGCTTCCACATTCCCATCAATCAGACTGACACTGGAAGCTTCCACATCCCCATTAAACAGACATGCACCCGGGGCTTCCACATCCCCATCAGTCAGATACACACCTAGGGCTTCCACATCCCCACCCCCAGGGCTTAGAATGTCTCCTGAGACCCCTGTGATCCCGGCTCACCAACTTGTCCATTGGCTGCCTGCCACAGACACTGCCCCTTACAAGATCACATCACAGACCTTAGCATGCCTCAGAAAATGAACATACAGAGTCACACAAAGACAGGGACAGACAAAGACACACAGAATCTTACCAGCTGGTTAGGAACCCCTCGGATCAGGGTCTGGGTGTCACGGAGGATCCTGGACAAGCCCCCAAATGTTGTTTCCACATCATGAGACCCCTGAGCAAGACCACCACAGAGCTGATATCTGAGGTAAAACATACTGGGGTTTATTGATAACAAGCAAGCTCGGGCTTGGTTTGTGTCCAACATCCAACATAGCAGGTGGAGGAGGATGACCCTGAGCTCTCAGGGTGAGGAGATTTTAAAGGGGAAAACTCAAGTAGGGTGTTACAAGCCTGGGCATCATATGGATTGGGTGAGGGTATGTAATCTTTGAATTTACTGGTTGGGGTTACAGTTATCATTTTGGGGCAGGCCTGGACAATCCCAGGCTTTGTCCTTGAGCTGCTATGGAGGCTGGCTGGCCTAGCATATACTGACTGTGGGGGCTGACTCAGGGGCCCAGGCTCTGTCCTTGAGCTGCCATGGAGGCTGGCTGGCCTCACATGTTCACATTGACCCATATCTCTAAGTAGGTGAGGGGTCCCAGACAATAAACAACTGGCTGAACCTTGAGCAGTCAGAGTACATGCAGAAAGGGAGCTACTGCAAGGACTATGTCTTCTGTTTATGGCCCTCCCAGAAACTGCTTGCTCAAGTCTCAGAAACTGAATTGAGGCCTGATCTCTGAGAGAAGCCTGAGCAGCCTGTTCTGGCGTCTGCTTGGTCCTTTCACTCCTCATGCTATGTTATTATATACTTATAGCCCCAGCTAATGCCAGCCAACATCTTCCCATCAACATCACTTGGATACTGTTCAATGCTGATACTGGGACAATAGTCTGCTCCATTTCAAAAGTAGCCCCCCTCAACACATGGTTTCCTTATTTCAAAACTGGGGTGTGTGGGGGGAAATGGCAGGCCTTTGACTGGGAAAGGACTTATGGATGTGGTTGGAGGGATGACCATATGCACCTAAATAGATATCCATTTTATGTTTGCCTTGGGAGTAGGCAGTCCCAAGCCCAAGCCAATAAGTGTATTGGTTCACATCATCATTACAGTGCACAATGGGACTGTGAATCTACCAGGACAATTCCATGGGACCCACCCATAAAAAATGACCTTATCGCAGTCACCAGAATCTTAGGAGGAGGGCCTTGCCTTCCCTTGACCTGTAACACACTTCTGATATAGTTCATCCAAAAAGGATAAAGCACCCCAAGATGGGAATGGGGAAAGACCTGGGGGCTAAAGCTATATTGAAGATCAGGCACTGATTTGGGATGGTCATTTACCATACAGCACATTGTCCAAACTGTTAACCCAAAAAGAGTCCCGCTGAGGCCCAACACCATCCTGCCATTGGCACCCCACGCTCAGCTTCCCCTCAAAGGCCACAAATTCCTGCCACAGTGGTCCCTCAGACTTGTCCTAGGTCACTCCCCTGACTGGATCTACTCCTTGCAACCTCCTGCAGGCCACATATGTAGTCCTGAACACCTCTCATCCAGGATGAACAGCTGACTCTTGGCTTTGCTTGAAAACACAGCACCTTTATTATGAAGGTATAGCTTTATTGGCTGACTGAGCCATATGCAGACTCCAAAAGAATCCTCTTGTAGGTGGGCTCAGGGACAAGCCCTGGGTGTCACCTTGGAGATGGCTAATGGCACATGCACATGTATTGCAGGTCAAAGAAAACAAATTCCCTAAACCCACGTATACTTTTGTAATGAGACCCTAGTTGTCCCGGAAGGAAACTCAGACAATCTGGTACCCCCTGATAAGGCCTTGTGTTCACTCCCAGATACTGCAGCAAACAGGAGAATTCTGTGTCTTGGTTCAGTTTATACCCTGTGTTCTCTACTACCGCAATGAGGAAATAGAGGCAGCTCTTTTATTCCCTTTGGACCAGACGCAGATGGGCAATGGGAGTAGCCACTGTTCTGGTCTCAACTGTACTTGGTCTAGGGGTAGCTGCACCAACAGAAGTAGGGGCTTCAGCCTTCGTATTATAGGACAAAACCTATATTGCCCTAAGAGAGGCCATTAATAACGACCTCTTAGAACCGGGAAAATCCATCACCCACTTAGCCCTCTCTTCCCTAGCTGAAGTTGCTTTACAGAATTGCCATGGCTTAGATTTATTATTTCTCCATCAAGGAGGACTGTGTGCAGTCCTGGAGGAACATTGCTGCTTTTATGCTAACCACTCTAGAGTTATTAGGGAATCTCTGTCACTGGTTAAAAAAAGGCTACAATCCACAGCCCTAGAGAAACTAGGTAACAAGGAGGAACTTAAGAGGGATGTATGAATCACCCTGGAAGGGGAAATAGATGAGATCTCCTGGGTAAACTTGGGGCAGGAGGCGAGGATAGAGGGAAGGAGATAGGGGATGGTCGAGTTTGGGGAGGGATGGAGGAGAGAAGCAAAAGGGACATCTTGATAGAGAGGGAGATTATGGGGTTAGGGAGAAACCTGGTGCTAGGGAAATTCCCAGGAATCCACAAGGATGACCTCAGATTAGACTCCTAGCAATAGTGGAGAGGGTCCCTGAACTGGCCTCCCCCTGTAATCAGATTGGTGACTATCCTAATTGTCATCAGAGAGCAGTCATCCAGTAACTGATGGAAGCAGATATAGAGATCCATAGCCAAGCATTGGGCTGAGCTCCAGGAGTCCTGTTGAAGAGAGGGAGGAGGGATTGTGAGTTAGTGGGGGTCAAGATCATGACAGGGAAACCCAAAGAGCCAGCTAACCTAAGCTCATGGGAGCTCATGGACTCTAGACCAACAGCTAGGGAGCCTGCATGGAACCAGCCTAGGCCCTCTGCATGTGGGTGACAGTTGTATAGCTTGGTCTGTTTGTGGGGCCCCTGGCAGTGGGACCAGATCCATCCCTGGCACATGAGCTGGCTTTTTAGAACCTATTCCACATGGTGGGATGCTTTGCTCAGCCTTGATGCAGGAGAGAGGAGCTCAGTCCTGCCTCAACTTGATATGTATGCCATACATTATTGACTCCCATGGGAGGCCTGCCCCTTTCTGAGGAGTGGATGGGGGGTTAGAAAGGAAGTGGGAAGAAGGAATGGGAGGAGAGGAAGGAGGGGAAACTGTGGTTGGTATGAAAAATAAATTTTAAAAATTAATAACAGAAAAAGGTTACAGGAACATTGACTGGCCAGACAGCAGAGTCAAAACTGGTTCGAGTCGCTGTTTAATTGGTCCTCCTGGCTCACCACTCTCTGCTCTGCAGTAGCCAGACTGTGATTTTGCTATTGCTCATTTTAATCTGTGGTCCCTGCATTCTCAACATCCTTATAAGATTCATTAAGGAACAAATTTCCACAATTCAGCTAATGGTGCTAAAATCCCAATATCAGCTTTTAGACCAAATGCAAGGATTTGAGATAGAACCAATCTCAAGGGGACAATGAAGGCTTTAAACTTCCCCACTTTTACAACTGAATTTAGGTTTCAGTTCTCTGAGAGGGGCAAAACAGGTTTCTCTCCAAACAAAAAGCCACTAATCAACAATATCCTTACATTCAGGGAAGAGGGAGAGAGCACCAGGCCTGAGTCAGCCCCACAATGTCTCAAGGACAAATCCTGCAAACCCCCTTCTGAGTAATGGACTTGCCCAAAGATGCTCAAGTATGTCCAAAAATGGTAAGACTGAACCTCAGCCAATTAAAAGTATACTAGTGTAACTGCTGTTTGCTTGACCAATTATGTTTGAGATGACCTAATTGTTCCAGAAATTCCCCTAGCTGTGCTCCTCTCAGGGTCATTACCGTTTTTTGCAGGTGTTCAACCCCACATACTGGTAAATGAATGCTCTTTGTTCTTGAATATTATTTGAGTCTGGGGTCTTCCTTCAGTGTTTTCTCAGACCCTTACAGTAGGGCCAGCCTTTTAACATTGTGGAATGATGTAATCTACAAAGTTCATGCTCAAGAACCACACAATAGAGTTACCAAAAAAAAAAAAGTGAAAAAAATACTCATCATGGGGCTGGCAAGATTACTCAGTGGATAAAGGTAATTCCCTCCAAGCCTGAGGATCTGATTTCTCTTCCTGGAAACCATATAAAGATAGAAGGAAAGAACCAACTCCTGTAAGTTGTCTTCTGACCTCTACACTTGTATTGTGGAATGTTCACATACATACACACACAAAATAAGTGCATTTTTTGGTAAAAAAAAAATTAATTAAGTTTATAGTTTTGTGTTGGGCCCCATTCACAGCTATCCTTGGCTGTTAAGGAGGAAAAGAGAGAACTAAGAGACTATTCCCCCAGCATGCATACATTTATTGTTTCTTTCTCTTGCAGTGGTTTTATTTTGTTTTGAGACAGGATTTCATGTAGTTCAGCTCCTTGAAGTCCTGGTCCTTCTCCTACCTCAGCATCCCAAGTGCTTTGATTACAGGTATAAGCCACCACACCCTGGCCTTCTGTTGTCTTCTCTATCTGGTTTTATTTCACTTTATGCTGAATATTTTACTTCACACTTATCTGTAGAAGTAAATAGATATTCTCTTCCTAGGATAAAGTTTTTACTTTCTTTTTGTTGTGGGGTAGAGACTCAAAGACCACTCAGCAGGACCAAAGGCAGAATTGAGAGTCTTTATTAAGCAGGCAGCTACTCTGGAGAGAAACTTCTCACAGAGCAACCTCAAATGAATTTTACAGAGAGCTTTTAAAGGCAAAGAACACAGAAAAATTATATCCTGGTTGGCAGTTGCAAGTGGAAGTAAAGCACGTGAGCCTGAAGTTTTAGAACAGGATTAGGTACTTTCCCATGGGACTTCTCACGGAGGGGGTAGGGAAAAGGAGAGGATCCAGTTTCAAGTTAAATCCAGGATGGCTTCAGCTGAGACAAGATGGAGGAATCTTTGCCCTGTTACACTTTCTGTCAGTCACTATTGGTGCTCATGTATTAATAATTTTTACTTGGAATGCAAGTCTTTTTCTGGTTCTAGTCTGAGGCATGGGATGGTGAAAGACATGGGGTAGTTCATCCCAGTGGTTAGTGTTACCACAATTCAGGTAGAATTATTCTGTTTTCTCTATCATTCTGGAAAACATAATGTTCCTGTTAGGGGTGGACATGTCTCTATAATGAGAAGCTTAAAATTTTGAATTTCATATTCAACAGATCTCTGAAGAGTTTGAAGACTACCTAATTAAGTATGCCTGATTTTAGGCTTAACTTTGAAAACATATATAGGAGGCTAAATAAAATTTGTTTGTGTAGTGGCAGTAGTTTAGGCATGGGAGGTGGGTCCAAACCCAGAGAGAGGAGGAGTTGGGAGGAAATACATTTGGAGAGATCTGGTTTGGGGCTGCTTCAAACTATGTGTGTGCACCAACCCTTCCTGCTGGGCGGGGCCAGGCAGAGTGGACGGACCCAGGCTGGATTGGCCAGAAGAAGCAGAGAGAAAGAGAGGAGGGGAAAGCATAGTCAGAGGGAGGGATATTTGAGAGAGTACAGAGTAATATTAATCTGAGCTGTGCTATGAAAGGAGAGGGGAGGAAGAGCCTCTGGCCAAGAGGGGTGGGGGCAGGGAGGAAAAGGGAACTGAAGGAATGTGGCTGATGAGAAGGAAGAGAACTGGAATATCAAGGGCATTTATCAGTGGTAGGAAGCAGAGGCAGCTGCAGGTGGAAACAGGCTTTGGTGAACTCCCAGTGCAGGGGTGAAATCCAGTGACATTCTTTGATGCTGCACAGCAGAGACAGTGGCAAGTTCACAGGGAGCTGCATCCCAGACTGGACAGCAGCTGTGGCTGCATGGGAGGCCTTTTGGAACAGGGAAGCCAGGACAGGCTCCTAGAGCTGTGTGGCTGGAGAAGTGGAGGGAATAGTGGGTAGAGGCCATTGGAGGAACAGCAATGGGCCTAGGGAGCAGACCCAGAGTACTGTTTGGTTAGTCATGGTGTTCCTGTGACAAGGTGGGAAGGCTTGGAGCAGAGGTTAGAAGCAGGTGGAGACTAAGAATCTTCAAGGAGGAGGAGGCAGGAGGGAAAGAGGTATCTCCTTCCATCTTTCCATGTGCCCACAAAATTGTAAAGGTTGTCACTTTGATTTTTCTAGGGAGTATAAGGGCCATTCTTGGGTGCTAAGATGCATCAGTAATGTTGGGTGTTGGTTGGAGTCTTTAAGAGACACCCCAAAGGTGTATCAGTCAGAAGGGAGCAGATCCCCTTGTTAATGGCAGCTGGAAGCCAAGGTCAAGGGCCAAGAGCATCCCCAAGATTCTTGAGTGTCTGATAGAGAGGTCTCTGGGAGGAAGGGGTCATTACCCAAGCACTGTCACCAAGAGAGGGACACAATAGTCCAAGGAGAAATCTGGGGATAGGACTTTCAGATGGTTAGCTGGACACTGGATTCCTGCAGAACAGCCACCAAAAGCAAAAGGAAGACTGCCAACCAAGCCAAACTGAATGGACTGTGCCTGCCAGCAATCTGAGGGAGTGTGTCACAGCTGCTGAAGGCCATGGCTAGATTCGTTCTTTCTACCCTCACAAGACAGAGCAGGGATGCCAGACACTTAATGTCTTAGGGAATGTTTAGGATGGCTAGTTATTGGTGAAATTATTATGGCCACTCCACATAGTTAAAAGGGAGATTTATTTAGTGGTGTAATTTACAAATGAAGGGATAGGTAGGTTGCGGGTTCTGGGAAAGACGCAGCGCAGTCCAGTGGTGTACTCTGGAGAACTCTTCTCAGTCTACCTCTGACGTCCAGGGTCTAGGAAACAAGAGAGTGTGGCGCATCTGGATCTCAGGTATTCAGGGCACTCTCTTGGCCCCTCCTTGTAGGCGTGATAGTTACCAAAGCCTCAATGGGGGTTGGAACTTCCAGACCAGAAAAGCATTTGTTAGTGATATAAGTTAGTTTAAATTGGATGATCATGTTGGTTGATGAATTATCACCTCTAATTAAGAGGTCTTTCTTGTTCAAATCGAACCTTTATCAATTTTGATGGTACCCACAGCTTATCTTCTCCTGTAGAAACAAAAGCAAAACCTCGTCCCCAACATAACACATACCCTGGCTTCCATTCTGAGGTCAGCACATCCTTAAAGTATATAGGCTGATTTAATTCTGTAATTTTTTTCTATTATCCAATGTCTCTCCACAGCTGTTGTTCCTTTCTCATTGGCATTCAGAAAATTCAAAGTTAGAAGAGTATTATGTAATCTATTTCTAGGGGGTTTTGTTACCCCTTTTGGTTTATTTAGCATATCCTTTAGAGTTCTGTTTGATCTTTCTATAACTGCTTGGCTTGTAGGATTGTGTCGTATACCTGTAATATGCTTTATATTGTAATAAGCAAAAAACTGTTTCATTTTAATTGAGACATATGCTGGAGCATTGTCAGTCTTAATTTGTACAGGTATACCAATGATGGCCATGACTTCTAGCAAATGCATGGTTGCAGAATCAGCTTTTTCAGAACTCAGAGCAGTTGCCCATTGAGATCCTAAATAGGTATCAGTGGTGTAGTATACATATTTTAATTTTCCAAATTCTTCAAAATGAAACTTATTGTATATAGTTTTTCTTGTAACCTTCTTTTTATTATTTTAGACATAAAAGAGGAAATGTGGTTGTACTTGTAATCTAAGAAATAAAGCTTGCCTGAAGATCAGAGGACAGAGCCAGCCACAGAGTTAAACATAGAGGTCAGGCAGTGGTGGCACACACCTTTAACCCCAGTATTTGAGAAGCACACACACCATTAATCCTAGACCTAGGAAGGCTGAGATAGGAAGTGAAATGGCTAGGTGGAGAAAGACATATAAAGTGTGTGGAGACAGGAAAGAGGCCTTTTCGGCTGAAGACTCGGGGACATTCAGTCAGAGGATTCATGGAGTTGGCAAGATGAGAATTGTCTGTGGCTTGTTCCTTTGTCTCTCTGATTTTCAGACAAGCTTTGTTTCTTAGATTACAAATATCACCACACGACCCCTTCTTATCATGAGGTTGCATAAATCTTTTGGTGCAGAAACATGACAACAGACCTCTGTGTAGAGGCACATGCCTGAAATCCCACCACTGAGGAGGCAGAAGCAGGAGGATCAGTTTAAGACCCAGAATATGTGAGAGCTTTTTTAAAAAAAGCAAGCAAGCAAACAAACAAAACCTATCAAACCCCATAAAAAACATACAAACAAAGATAGGAATGATAAAGAATGTGAATACTATGAGGAATTTGGGGACATAGCTGAGAAAGGAGTAAAGTAACTAGGGTAAGGGAGCATGTGCTATGGTGTCTGACCCCAGCGGCCAAATAATCTCAAGCTTGATGCTGGGGTGCACATATAGACACACGTACTTAGCAAAGTGGGGCAAAAAGCTCATTCCAACCTAGGAGTTTATAATCAGCCTGGATTGCACAATGTGAAAAAATAAACCTTCTTTGTCATTGTTGTCTTCTTTTTTGTTTTGTTTTTAGGTTTTTCAAGACAGGATTTCTCTGTGCGGCCCTAGTTGTCCTGGATTTCGCTCTGTAGCCCAGGCTGGCCACGAGCTCAGAGATCTGCCTGCTTCTGCCTCTCGAGCGCTGGGCTCAAAGGCGTGCCCAGTCCAGCTACCTTTAGTTTTCTCATCTTTAAAATGGGATGCTATACCTATTCGGCTTTTTAGAACTGTGGAGAGTACTGCATAAATCATAGCAGTTATTTCATGGAGGAATGAAACACAGAGCTGTTTAGAAAATAGCAAACAAGAGCAGCTCAGCGTAAGCAGTTTGATAACTCGGAGGAGTCTGTCGGCACATTTTAAAAGTTTGAATTGGGTGCTTTTTTTTAAATCACCCTTCGTGAAGGGTGGACTTGAGCAGCTGGTCTATTGGCTGTGCTATGTTACAAGAGATGTACAATTTTTTTTTTAAATAATGGCGGGAAGGTGAACAGCCGCCAAAAATAGGTGTTGCTCTTACTCCCCCCCCCCCCCACAGAGTTTCTCAACAACTAGGCGCTACTGCGCTACTGCGCAGCCGCAGAAGCCTACGTTCGCGCTCCTCGGGCTTGGCGCCTGTGTGAGTTTGCGGCTTCACGTGCACAGTAGCGGTCCAGACGCCGTCGGGGACGCTCGGTGCAAGGCACCGCCACCTCACCATGTCCGACGAGGGAGGTAAGGACCCCTACTTTTGCCTCACTTGCATGCAGCTAGGCCAGATAGGGTGACCCGGTTCCTTAGACGGCAGCCCTGGCGACTGCAAAAAATGAGCCCGCCACCGTGTCGCGACGCCGCTTCTGGCGGCGGATTTGCTTTATTGCCTGATTCGCGGGAATTAGTCAACAAGTGAGAGAGAACTCGAGATGCCCCCAACTCGGATGCCCCTCCGAGGGGGCTCCCTGGGTTCCGGGAGCTTGAGGTTACGAAAACCCTTGAGGTGCCACCTGAGGAACTCATTGCTTTCTCGAGGGAGGGCTAAGGCGAGGATTTGTGATATCTGGGGGTAGGGGTCCCTAAGGTGAAACTACGGCGGGGGATTGGGTATTTCTAGGTGATATGGCGTCCCAGAAACTCGGTCTTAGGGGCGGCGTCCCCCTTTCTCTGGCTTTGCGCTTGTTTGCGCAGTTCCGGCCTTCCCCAGGATCTCGGGGCTCCCAGCCGAGGCAAGCTTCGGGTTTGCCTCGTGCGCTCGCCCCGAGACGCCGCTTTTGCAGTAGCTGGGGCTTCGAACAGATGCTCCAGTTTGGGGCTTCCCGGGGCTAGAGAGGCCCCAAGTCTTGGGACTCGAAAGGATCCCCAGGTTCTTCGTATTCTTGGCATTCGGCGTGTTTCTCGGGTTCCTGGGCTTTTGCCGTGACATGGCGTCCCAAAGGGTAGCCCAAGCGGTATTTGGGGGCTTACGGTTTTCGCCGGGGCTTGAGGTGATAGGAGACGAGGGAGGATACTGTGGCTCCCAGGGAACCGAACTTGGGCTAGTTCTTTCCAGCGTTTCAAGACGCTATAAAGCAGTTTCTAGAAACTGCCGACCCGGGGGATTGCTGCACCCCGAGCGGATTCCCGTGCCTCCAGGAAGGAGGCATGGAGGGCTAAAGCGCCGGCACCACTGGGCATCCGTTTGGACGCAAGCTTTGAAACATTTATCTACATTTGCATGGTGTGCAGGCAAGGCACAAGTGCCAGGCACTTGTGATTGGGGAGAATTTTTCTTTTGGAGAAGAATAAGTCTGCACTTGGCAGTCTCACATCAAAGTAACTCTCATATTGAGCACGGGACTTCTCTTAGGCCGCCAGCTCCTGTAAGCTTTTGCAGTTTGGCCACTTGGTGTGGACTTTCTGGGATGAGTTAACTTTTTTTTTTTTTAAATCCCCTCTCCTCCTTTACAGAGACAGGCTAAGATAAGGGAGGACTAATATTATTTTTTACTGAATTCTGAATTTAGGGAGTTGATTGTGAGAACACTTTCTTGAAGACCAAATAAAGCCCTTTGGGGGCCTTGGAAGTTAGCCATATTTGTTTTAAGGCAGAACTTATTTTATTGTAGATATGTTAAGGAGGAGAAAGAAAATAAAGATGTAGAGGTGTTGTGGAGTGGCCTTCCCGTGTATTGAGTTTACTGTTTGCTTTTTAGGGGACAGATGTGCTGTCTAGGGACAACTGTAAAATGTGGGGATCCTTGGAAAGCAGGGTGCCTTTCATCATGTTACTAGGAGAGGCCTCATGCTTTGTGGTCCTTTGATAGAAAAGGCTATCTGCTCCCTCCCAAATCATTCTGCTTTAGAGTTTTTATGGCATGAACTGTCAAACTGTTTTTAATGTTTATAAAATGTGATTTTCCAAGCAACCTTTCTGCTCCCTATTTTATAAAACAGGACTTGGGCTAGATACAGATTTTATTATTTTCTTTCTCTCTCTCTCTCTCTCTCTCTCTCTCTCTCTCTCTCTCTCTCCCTGTGTGTGTGTTTGTGTGTTCATTCTTGTGAGTGTGTATGTATGTGCATTGGTGTTGAAGTCTGTGGTGAGCTTTGGGTGCCATTTCCCGGGAGCTATTTACTTTGATTTTTGAGGCAGGATTTCATTTGCCCAGGATCTCAGCTGGCTTATGTAGGCTAGGCTGGCTGGCTAGCTAGTTCCAGGGATCTACCTGTTTCTGTCTTTCTGGTGCTGCAGTAAGCAGACATCACCATACCTAATTTTTCCATGTGGGTTTTAAGATCAAATTCAAGTCAGTCTTGCTTAAGTGGGAAGTACCATACACAGCCAACTCTCCATTATTAAATAATGCTGTTGTTCTCGCTCTCTTTCTTTTAAAACAAGCTCTCACTAGATAGCCTTCGCTAGCCTGAAGCCCACAGATATCTGCCTGCCTTTGCATTGCACATGCTAGAATTAAAGGTGCATGCTAAGCAAATGTTTTGTTTTGTTTTCTGAGACAGGATTCTCTGTATAACAGTCCTGGCTGTCCTGGAACTTACTTTGTATACCAGGCTGGCCTCAAACTCACTAAGATCCACCTGCCTCTGCCTCCCAGTGCTGGGATTAAAAAAGGCGTGAGCCACCACTGCCCGGCACAAATATTTTTTTAAGGACAACTTTAAGAAATTAGAAAGCCCACTTAGATATTTGACAGTATACATAATATTTAAATGGTTAGAGTTGATATTTCATATGTAGTTCGTGTGTAGTTACCTGTTTCATGTTTTGTGAGGTCTAGTTTGAATTTAATTTGTTTTGAAATAATATTTATTTTTGTACTTTTATCCACCATCAGTTATCATGAGTTAATTTTTGGAGAACAAGCTTGTAAATTATTGGTCTCTATAAATGTGGCCATGAGACAATAGTTTTATAACTTAAAATTTAAAAGCAAAACATCGAGCACATCATAGCATGGAACATGTGGTAACATTTATGTCTTTTCTTATACTGGGGATTGGATCCAGGGACTTGGGTATGCTAGGTGAACTCTGTATTGCCAAACTGCACCCCAAGCTGCTGATATTTCTTAAATTAGAAGACATTTATTGTTCTAGTGAAGAAATTTATTGTTCTGCAAAATTAGAAGTATTAGAAATAATAGTCTGTGTGTATATTCATATATCCCAATATTTTATAGTAAATAAGTGATTTTTTAGCTAACTTTATTGATTACAAGTATAAAAATACTTAATACAGTTTTGTGAACTAAAATGTGGTTTTTAAAAAGCTGTTTGTAGTGGTACATCCCTTTAGTTCCAGCATGTGAGAGAAGCAGAGGCAGGTAGATATCTCTGAGATCAAAGCTAGTCTAGTTTACATAGCAAATTCTAGGCCGGCTAAGGCTACACAGAGAGGACCTATCTCAAGAAATAGGAGTTTTAAACAACCCATATTTTTCTATCCTAGCCCCCCAAACTGTTCATTTAACGTGGTACTTAATCTGATTTTTCTCTGATTCTTAGACTTTATTGTTGTAAATATGGATGGCGACAGTGATAACGACGTCAGTGATGATGATGAGCTGTTAAGTGAATTTTTTGGATCAGACGTTATTCCGGATACATCCAGTGATGGTGACTTGACCGTAGACTCCGAACTTGAAGACTCTGATGACAGCTTTGAGGAACAATCCGTACATGGTAATTGGTTAAATTTCCTCCTGGGTTAAATTGTGTGCTTTGCCTCTCATTTCTAGTAAACCACTTATTTCCATAATCTTTGTATTAATTAGTTTGTACACAAAGCCTAAATTTCAGATTAGAGAAATAGCTCAGCAGTTAAGAGCACTTGATGGTCTTGCAGAAGACAGGGATTCAGTTCCCAAAACCCACATGGCCACTCAAAACCATCTGTAACGCTGGTCCCAGGGGATCCAACTCTCTTCTGACTTCAGTAGGCACCAGGTATGACCATACATTCGGTTAAAACACTCATGTACATATCATAATTTTTTTCAAAGTAGCCTGAGAATCATGCTAATACAGTATTTCTGTATGTTTGTGTTTTTCCTTCAGTATGTGCTGTGTTTCCCTTTGCCTTTTCCAATTTAAGGGGAACAGTCTCAGAAAACATTACAGAAACTGTATTCAGTGTTTCAAAAATTACTTATATCTGGCAGCTATAATTAAACTGTTTAGTAGTAAAACTCAGGTGAATAGCTAAAATATAACAGCTTTGGTGGAATTCATGAATCAGGTGACATAATGTAACTGTCTATGCAGAAAATCTTAAGGAATAAAAATTATTGAACTAAAACTGGTTATTATTTGTAAAATACAAGCTTAACGTAAGAAAGTCAATAATTTTTCTGCATACTAGTAATAAAAATTGGAAGTATAAATTAAAACACAGTACTATTTACATTTGAACATAAAGAGTCCACAGAAAGACCCTCCCTTTGTGAGACAGAGTTTCACTCTGTAGCCCTGGTGGGCCTCCAACTCACAGAGATCTGCTTGCTTCTGCCTTGTAAGTGCTGGGACTAAAGGCCTGCATCACCACAGACAGCCACAGGAAGATGTTTCAGTTGTTTCACTGAGGATGAAAGTAGTTGTAGATTTTCCAGTAATATCCTTTATTAGGTTGTAAAATTTTCTTTCATTTTTAATGTCCTGAATACTTTTATTGTGAAATGCTATTGAATTTTGTCAGCTGCCTTTTGTGTATCAGGATGATAATGTGAATGTTACCCTCTTTGTTTATGTATTGCATTGATTTTTCTTATGTTTGAAAACCCTTGTGCATTTAGGTAATAAGTTCTCCTGGTTATAGTAAGTAATAATTTGATTGTAACTTTTGCAGAGACTTCTAATAAGGAATGTTTTCCCTTTCAGTGTCACAGAAAACAAAAATGAAGTGAAGCATTAAGCACTGGTAGTATAAGGTTATTCAGTGAACAACAACAGACAGGAGGGGGTCCAGCTCACAGCTAACTTCTCTGCTTTTATAGGGTAAACAGAATTAGAGGAGACACTGGCTGGCTAAGAGGAGGGATATTCCTGTCTTTTCTTGTAATAGGTAGATTTTTTTTTTTTTTTTTGGAACTTGGATGCCATCTCCTTTTGCTTCCATTCTGGTCCAGCATTTTTTTCTGCCATGGAGGCTGGCAGATGCATAGAAATTCGATTCTAATGTAGTTTAAAATTTGTTCAACGTCTTAGACAACCCATCTTGGTGTCCTGATGGGTGAAGAAGGAGACTAGGCAAGTACAAGTCAAATCAACCACGTGTTACAATTCTAGGGAGGAGAAGAACATTTCTCAAATCATCAAGCTATATTTCTCCAGGTATGAACAGAAATCTGACGTAAAGGTTAAAGCCACTAAGGAGATAGACATGACACAAAAAGCAGCTTTTTTTGATGAGCTGAGAGATACACTTTGTGTGAATATAAGGATAGGTATTTAGAATACACTTCAGGAAATAACAGGAGTAGGAGTTCTTTAGGGTCTGTGACCTCACCAGCCACAGCTAGGTTTATAGTACCAGGTAGGAGTTCCCTCCTACTGAGTGGACCTTAAGTCCAATTACATAGCTAATGACTAGTCACAAGGAAAAGTGCCACTATTGCACCCCTGGGCATATCTTGATATGCTTGCCATTCATGGTTTGTAAGCTTTATTCTGTGTATAACTACAAATTACCTTTCTCCATTGGGGGCTTGCATAGCACCTTTAGATGTAGTGAGAGCCAGTCGACAGGGAGAAGGCTTCCAGATCAGTTTCAGTTCAGTTCCTCCATGCCTTGTGTTGAAAGTGTGTGATGTCTCCAGCAATAGGGACTGGACTCTCCCTCGAGTTCTGGTAGGCAACCAAGGACAACAACAATAACCTGTATTATTTTGGAAGTCTCTTGGACTCCCCTAACCAACAACTCAATGGGCAGTTTCCTATGCCTGACACTGGGGTCCAGTTGTTAGTCTGTGGAGCTTGGGGAGCATTATCATCCCAAGTGTCATGGCTTCATTTCAATTACTTACATGTATTTTTATTTTTATTTTTTTCTTTTGTTTTTTTGAGACAGGGTTTCTCTGTGTAGCTTTGCGCCTTTCCTGGATCTCGCTCTGTAACCCAGGCTGGCCTCGAACTCACAGAGATCCGCCTGGCTCTGCTTCTCGAGTGCTGGCATTACAGGCGTGTGCCACCGCCGCCCAGCCAGTTGAATGTTTTTCTAATCATTGTTAAAGTTAAAACTGCATGTGAAAGCGGTTAAGAAATCACAACTATTAATGGGTTTGATAATTTCAAACAACTAATTCCTCCCTAGCAAAAATACCGGGATCACACCACCACCACCACCTGAGAAAAGCACTTGCTCCAACTGTACACTTTCAAATTTACCCATTATTACCCTTCTGATAGCAAGGACTCACATAGGAAACCCAGTTGGGGGATGAGCAAGGAGGCAGAAAAACTAGTGATTCACAGAGCAAGGTTTTTTTTTTAAACTTTCTTTTTATTTATTCTTTGTGTCTTTCACATCATGCCTCCCAATCTCACCCATTACCCCTACCCTCGAATAAAACAAAGTAAAAGAGGGTGGGGAAAAAGGGAAAATCTGGTCATGGAAGCTGCAGTGTGACACAGTGAGTCACGCAGTAAACCCCTTTATCCACACATTTTTACATGTAGGCATTCATCACAAAAAAAAAAATCACTGGTCTGGTTCAAGGACTCTGGTCCCTGCTACACTATCAACACTGGGCCCTCACTGGGACTCTCCCTGGACATCCTGTTGCTGCCCTGTGTCATGGAGATCCTGCAGCCTTGGGTTCACAAGATCAACCCACCCCCACGCTCCAGTAGATCACAGATGGGGTGGATGTTGGGTAGTTGCAGGGCTGGCCAGCCAGCTCTTCCTTGTCCTCACCACCAGGATGAGCTCTCTTGCCTTGCCCTGGCTAGTTCACACTTTGCAGGGATGAGCAAAGGGTGGGGCCAGTTCTTCAGCTTTCACATCCTCGGGGGTCCATTCTCCAACACCTGTACCTTCAGGGCCAGCTTTACCTTGTTGTCCAGGTGAGGTCTAGGGGCCACTTGCCCAGGTGCTGCAGCTGGTAAGGGGAAGGGTCAGCTTGCTTCTCTGTCTCAGGCAGTAAGGGGTGAGGGGTAAGGGGGTGCATCTCTCTCCTACCCACACTGTTGCATGATAGGCTAGTAGTGGGGACAGCTCTCCCATGCTCACAACTTTGGGGCTGGTTCACCCATACCCCTGCCAACAGGTTTGGTTCTATTGTGCTACCCAGGTGAGGTATAGGGCCCAGAACAAGGGGTTTTAACAGAGAAACATCTGAAAATGTTCAAGTGCATTCATACTGAGAAAGATGCAAATGAGATGGGATATAACTTTCAACCTTTATCAAATTAGCAGTATTTAGAAGTTAATTCACTTTAGTGATAATAGTGAAAAAACATTACACTTTAATTCTTTTGGAGTGCAAATTTGTACAGCCTTTCAAGACCTCTGGGAAGCACCTACCAGAAGTCTTTCAAATGTTATAGCCTTTCTTGTGATGATTCTTTTATAGGAAGGAATATTTGTTTGAATGCATATACATGATTATTTCAAAATAGTGAAAATGTAGAAGCCATAAAACTTAGAAGCCATAAAATGTCCAGTAACAGATAGTAGTAAAACCTATGTGCATTAATAAAATGAAATACTATGAAGAAATTCAAAAGTATTTTGAAATTTTAAGTAATGCTCAAAATTGCTCAGTATATATGCAGTATAAAAGAAAAAAGAGAAGGAAATACATCTAAAGCTCATATTTATTGGTGATGGAATACTTTAATTAGATCCTAAAAGGAGCTAATTTTAAAAATATTTTATATTATGGATTTTTGCATGCACACGTTCCTGTGTACCACATGTGTGCCTGGTGTTCATAGAGACCAGGAAAGGATATCAGATCCACTGGAAATGGACCTACAGGTGCTTATGAGCTGCTGTGTGAGTGTGGGGAATTGAAACCAGGTCCTCTGTACTCTTAATTGCTAAGTCATCTCTCCAGGCCCTAAAGAGCTTATTTTTTAGATAAGTTTTACATAGAACTATACTATATTAAAATATACACACATCATGAATATACAGCTTAAATATTTTCAATCAATGCATGTATATAATCATAATTCATAATAACAAATAATAGGATAAGAACTGTGCATACCCCAGTCTTGTCTCCTTGTATTCCCTAACCCCCTTGGCAAGGTAATCACTATGCTGACTTCTCATATCATGGGTTACTTTGGCCTAATTTTGAACTTTCTGTGAGTTGAAACATACACTGTATTTGCTGTTATATCTGACTTATTTTATTCAAGTTTTTGAGGTTCATCCTGACTGGAAGCCCCAGTAGATGGCTTACTCTGAGTTTGTCATTATGGTCACTCTATGGGTTAGTTATTCACAACTCATTAATTTTATGATCGGAAAAATTCCAGTTAAAAATAAAATTTAGTGGCAATTACAGTTCAACTTGGATATGTCCATTTTTTGTTTTTGTTGCTGTTTTTTAATGCATTGCTCTATATTTACCTCACCTGAGAGTTAAATCTCCCATTCATTTTTTTTTATCGTCCCTTCATACTACTTGGGACCTCCTGCATGCTACCTTTGAACCTTGGCCCTCTTTTTTACTTTTTTTTTTTTTCCACTTGAGACAGTCTAGCTAAGTTGCCCAGGTAGGTTTTGAATGTAAGTTCTGAACCTGATCCAGCACACCTTCCCTCATTTTGAAAGGAGATTATAGGGTCTTTATGTAATCCACACAGGCTAGCTCAGGCTGGCTCAAACTTGATATCCTCCTGCCTTGGCCTCAGGGATGCTGGCAGCATAGGTATAAACCACTACATCTGGTTAATTACAGTCCTCTTACTCCTTTTACTTTCTGTCATTTGAATCTTTTGGGTCATTAATATCTCCTTGACTGCTCTAGCTCAGGATGGATAAGGCTAATTAGCTTCTGTAGTATTGTACATCTCCAGTAACTATGAAGAAAGAGGGCAAGCCAGACCTAGTTCAAGCTAGAGGGTTACATCATTGTAGATACTTCTGGTTCTAGTTCTGTATTGAATGACTTAAAACCATAACCTAACCTTGATATTTCTAGATTTTTTGAACTTTTATTTCACATCTGTTTATTTAAGTTGCATGTAAAGTCTAATTGGTAAGGCAACCATGATTTTAGAGCTGCAACCAGTGGTGAAGATGCTTTGAAGGGTTTTCAATTCAAGTGAGTAGGCAGAGTCTTTGCAGTGGCACTACCCAGGCAGCAGCAGTGTCAGGGGTGGAGGCCAGAGGCCGTGGCAGGTTGGTGGTAGTTTTATGATTTTATGGTTCATCCATTAAAGTGAAAATTTATGTTATTATTATAGTGTATTGCTTTTTGAAAAAAATTGAGTTGAATTTCATAAAATGAAATGAACAGCTCTTAAAAGTACAGTTTGGTGAGTTTTGATAGAACAGACTCATCTGGAACAGATTTTGGAAGCATGCTAACCTCCCTAAGTAAAAAACAAAACAAAACAAAAACCCGAAAAACTCCTGGAGACCTCATAAAAGTCTTAGCAGTTGTCTCCTCTTGTGGAGTTTAAGTTGTAAAACACTCCTTTGTAGTCTAGACTGGATTTTTAACTTCATACTTACTCCTATTGAGGGTATATAGCCCTTCCATTCATAGATATTTATTCTAAATTACTTAGAGAAGAATTTTTGTTTTGTCATTCTCTAAAATTGAAACAGGCTCTAATTTAAAGTGGTATAGTCAGAACACACACACACACACACACTAAGGTTTTTAGGTAGCAAATGCATAAAATGACTTTTTATTTTATCTTTTTATCTATCTATCTATCTATCTATCTATCTATCTATCTATCTATCTATCTATCTATCTATCTATCTGGTTTTTCAAGACAGGGTTTCTCTGTGTAGCTTTGTGCCTTTCCTGGAACTCACTCTGTAGCCCAGGCTGGCCTTGAACTCACAGAGGTCCGCATGGCTCTGCCTCCTGAGTGCTGGGATTAAAGGCGCGTGCCACCACCGCCCAGCTAAAATGACTTTTTATGTGCTGCTTTACAGATACTGAAGATGAATATGGTGAAGACAATGGAGTTAATGGAGATGATGAAGATGAAGATGACAATGAAGATGTTGAAGAAATTAATCTTCCAGTCAATTTAAAAAGATACAATCCTAGCTCAGTGAATGTTTCCCCAACAAACAAAAGAAGACGACCATCTTTTCCAGATGATTTTACGGTTTGTATATTAAAGTGAAAGTCTTTGTTCTCATTATACTGTATTTCTTCTTTAAAAAAAAACAACAACACTGAGTTGAAGTTCACAAAATGAAATGCACAGATCTTGAAATTACAGTTTGGTAAGTTTTTATAAATATTTATAACATATTCCTCTATCAAGATAATGAAAATTTATGTCATTCTAGAAACTTTCCATGTATCTTTTTCCATCAAATCTTTATTTTTCCTAAACATTTTGATTTTTTTTTACATCCTAGCTTAATTTGCCTGCTACATAGCTTCATGTAGAATTGTATAGATGAAAATATTTTGTATAAATAGAATTGTGGATTTTGTATTTCAGCATTTTTTTCTTAGACTAATGTATTAGGGATTCATTTTGTTTCCATTATTGCTCAGTGATATTCTTAAATGTAGTTTGCTTATTCATTCTTTTCCTAGTGGCCATTTGGATTACCAAAAGTTTTGAGCCATTAGGAGTAAAATGATTACGAACAGGTTTATGAAAGTCTCATAGTAAATGTCTTTGCATGCAGGCAGCTCTTAGGGGGAGGAAGCAAGGAAACAGGCAGGGTACCAATAAAGGGAGAGGAGCAAGTGTCTTAGTAACTAGAGAGTTGCTCACATGGTAGGGCCCCAGAGGGCATAGCAGGTTCCACAAGACAGAGAGAGGACACTTAGCAAGTAGGAAAAGAGATATAAATGGTTTGAGCAAGTGGAGAGAAGAAGCAGCTGAAGAGTTGGACTTTAGAATTTGGAATCAAATTCTGTGGGTGGTAGAAACCAGCAGAAACAAATGATCCGTACATACCACAGGAAAGTCAAATCAGCAGCTTTGAGTAAGATCAGAAACTTTGTTCAGAGTGACATAGTCCCTTTGCCAGTTGAAAGGAATGAATAAGAGTGTAGCTGTGAGTTTTCCTATGTCCCGCCCAGTCCACAGCCGCCTAGACCCAGGTAAACACACAGAGGCTTATATTAATTAAAACTGCTCAGCCATTAGCTCAGGCCTACCACTGACTAGCTCTTACACTTAAACTCAGCCTATTTCTGTTAATCTATATGTTGCCACATGTTCTGTGGCTTTACCTGTGTGCCATTACATGCTGCTCCCTGGATGGCAGGCTGGCATCTCCTCCTCAGCTTTCCTCTTTCCAGAATTCTTCTTGTCTGCTTATTCCACCTATACTTCCTGCCTGGCTACTGGCCAATCAGTGTTTTATTAAAACAGTGTGCAAAAGCATTATCCCACAGCATAAGAAAAGGCTTGACAATGGGTGCAAGGAGGGCTCATATGAGGTTCCAAGGCACCTCATATAGGGGGCAAGCAAGAAGGGAGAAAGAGGGGATCCAAGAGTGTAAGAAACCAGACATCTCTAGAAAGGACAGGATTTCATCCTTGGTGCTGGGGACTGCAAGGGATTAAATTAAATATTTTCTACTTTGGGTAATGGCCTTGTGAGTTGGAGTAATAGCTAGTCTCAGATAAGTAACCTGAGGGGTGGAAAACTGGAACTTAGATGGTAAGACCCTATATCTCAGGCCAGACAGGAAGTTTAGTAGAGTATAAGTGTCAGCTTGGCTAATTTGTAGGAATGGATTACAGAGAAGATCATCTATGTATTGCATAAACTTGTATGTCAGAAGAGACAAAGAGGGTAAATTAGAGGGCTGAATAGATGTGGGCTGTCCTGAAACCCCTTGGGTAGGACAGTCCAGGTAAGTTGGATAGAAATATGAGTATCGGGGTCAGTCCAAGTAAAAGCAAAGATAATTTATGACTGGGAATCGAGAGGAATGGAAAAGAAGGCATCCTTGATGCCTTACCCACCATGTGAGCAACTCTCTAGTTACTAAGACACTTGCTCCTCTCCCTTTATTGGTACCCTGCCTGTTTCCTTGCTTCCTCCCCCTAAGAGCCTCACATTTACGACAGAAAAATGTGAGGTTCCTGAAGGATAATAGAAAGGATAGTACAGGGGTTGGGTACTACATATTGGAGAGAAACCACAGCAAAGTTGATAAGTTGAAGATCCTATACCAAGTGGTAGGCTCTGTTGGTGTTTTTAGCTCCAAGTATGTGGGGGTGTTAAAGGGAAATGTGGGCACAAAAGGCCTTTTCTTAAGTGATCAGAAATATGAGGCTTAAGTCCCCTGGGACTTTATAGAGAGGGTAGATATTGAGCCTATGTGATAAAATTGGTAGGGTTTTGTAATTACATGAAAAGAGTGGAATGATATTTGGCTGTATGGGGGTATTTGGGTGTTTGATACTTAAGAATCTACCAACTTGAGGTTGATAAAGGGAAAGGTGTGTCAGACTGTGTGGTTTGGAGGAGAAGGAGAAGGGAAATGGCTGGCAAGCCTAGGGCCAGGTAGGCTAGGGGAGCCAAGGAAGTACAGGCTTTCAGTTTGGGTAAGAGGTTCCTTCCTAGTAAGGGGATGGTACAGGTTGGTACTACTAGGGAGGAGTGAGTCAGGGGAATACCCTTAAAGATAAAACTAAGTGGCAGGGTTTGGTGAGGTTGATAAGTCTGTTCCCCTACCCCAACAATAGGGAACAAAAAGGGAAGGTAGGCCCTCAAAACACTGTTAGAACTGAGTAAGTGGCCATGATGTCCATAGGAAGGAGACAGGTTGCCCAGGTACCATGATGACTATCTGTGGCTCCCTGCTAGAGATGGTGGTGGTTCTGCCAAGGGAGACCAGGCCCCCTCAGTCATTCTATGGCTAGACCTAGGAGGTCAGCTGAAGGGTATTCTGGGCCTGATGTCCCCACACTGCAAAGGCCATGTGGGGTAGTTCACAACCCATGTCACTATGTCTCTCTTGATAGCACCTAGGACATGGTTGGTAGTGTTTTTGAGGTTCCAGGCAGACATAGGCCCAGTTCCCCTCCTGACTGCATTTGAAGCAGGGACTCAGAGGTTCTCAGGCTTTGGGGAGCATAAGGGCGGTGGCTATGATTGGGTGAAAGGCCTTAACCACCAGCAGGTAACCTGTAGCTGGAGTTTTCTCCAGTCCCACCCAGGCCTGCAGCTGCTCAGACCCAAATAAACACACAGAGGCTTATATTAATTAAAACTGCTTGGCTATTAGCTCAGGCCTACTACTGACTAGCTCTTACACTTAAATTCAGCCCATTTCTGTTAATCTATATGTTGCCACATGTTCTGTGGCTTTATCTGTATGTCATTACATGCTGCTCCCTGGATAGCAGGCTGGTATATCTTCACTCAGCCTTCCTCTTCCCAGAATTCTCCTTGTCTGCTTATCCTACCTATACTTCTTGCCTGGCTATTGGCCAATCAGCCTTTTATTTATCAACCAATCAGAGCAACACATTCACAGCATACAGAACATCCCACAGGACCTCCCCTTTTTTGTTTAATCATAAAGGAAGGTTTTAACTTTAACATAGTCAAATTACATATAATAGAACAGTTATCAAGCAAGAATTATAGTTATAATAATCTATTTGTATTTGGCAAAATTAAAGAAAATATTTTATCTAGTTTATGAGTCTAAAGTTTTATATCTAATTTATCTTTTGTCATAACCAAGGAAAATTATAATTATAACTCTCTAGTCTTTAACTATATCAAAAACCCCCAGAAGGATATAATATTACCTAAGTAAACAGGAAGAGCATTGTAATAAAAATCTAGAATGACAGAGACAGATGTCTGCCTAGACAGTCATCCAAAGTTTCTCTGTAACATTGGGTCATCTATTTTTAGCCCACAGGCCTAGAGTCTTTCAGTTACTTTTTGTGTGTCCTGTAGAATGTCTGGCAGTTTTTTTTTCTGTGAAGGAGGTACCTGAAGGACCATTTTGTCTTGTAAAGTTTAGTGGTTATTTTTTATGGGTCCTGCATGTCCAGTAGGTACAACATTTTGTCAAGCAGTCCAGGCAAGAACAGTTTCTTGCCCAAATGGCTATTTCTGCTGAGAAGATAAACTCCATATGGAGTGTCTTTGACACCATTGAGCTCCATTTGTAGCTGAAGTTTTCTCAGCTCTCACCTGGGCCCACAGCTGCTCAGACCCAAATAATCACTCAGAAGCTTATATTAATTAAAACTGCTTGGCTATTAGCTCAGGCCTACCACTGACTACCTCTTACACTTAAATTCAGCCCATTTCTGTTAATCTATATGTTGCCACATGTTCTGTGGCTTTACCTGTATGTCATTACATGCTGCTTCCTGGATAGCAGGCTGGTATATCTTCACTCAGCCTTCCTCTTCCCAGAATTTTCCTTGTCTGTTTATCGCACCTATACTTCCTGCCTGGCTACTGGCCAATCAGCTTTTTATTTATCAACCAATCAGAACAACATATTCACAGCATACAGAACATCCCACAACAGGGGACTTTACATCTCTCCCATGGTACACTTTGAAGGCCACCACTAAGACTTGTGCCTGTGTAGTTAGGGATCCCATCTCTAGGCATTTGGCTTTAATGTCAGGGAAACACAGGGAAAAGAATTAGGTCATAAGAATTATAT